AACAACGAATTCAAGAAGTTTGAATAAATCCGAACTTCGTAGAGTTTGAATCGTTCCATTCGCTTAATCTGTCACGAGATATGATTGAAATTGTTCGAATTAGATGGTCGATGTTCAAATTTAAGAGAAAGATACAAAACATGTTATTGAGATATATAGATTATTTAATATTCTCATGTTCTCTAATATCATTTATTTTTAAGGCTTAATATAATTTTGTTATCACTCTTTATGGAATAGGTTTTGCCACGCCATGGAAAGGCCGATCTCTTCTCTTGAATTAATACACTCGGATTTGTCATATGCCCTAAAAATTTCCATCTCTTCTAGTCATTTTAGTTGGTGAATATGTGGTGTGGAGGCAATTATCTGTGCTCTATTGAAGTCCGCCACTATATCGGGATCAGTGGCATAGGTGGAGAGTGAGGTTGTGTGTCTGTTGTGATGTATATCGGAAATATGCTCTTTTAATCTAACCTCTAAAGAGCGTTTAGTTGATCCCACGTATACCAGATCTATGTTAAACCTGTTATCCCTTATAGAAATTTTATATACGCCTGATAACCTCTCCGTCCTGGATCCGTCTTTTTCATTACGTAGGATATCAAACAAGGTTGCTGCATCTTCTGTATGCTATGTTAACATTTCGTTGTTTAGCAATGGTGCTGTACAGAGACTTCAATAGAGGGTTGAACTTAATGGGTATCCTCACATTTTCTATATTATTGCTTGTGTTTTGCGTGTTCACTACAATGTTGGAAGAAGCCTGTGTTTGTTTGTGGCAATCTGCGATCTTTTGTATAATATTTCAGTAACCATGGGATCTGGCGATACTTTCCAAGTATTTTAACTCCTCTGTTAGTGCTTTTTGTGTGGAAGAGTGTGTGTAAACTCGTTTGACCAATGCCCTGAATGCCACCATTTTGTACTGAAAGGGATCACATGAGCTTACTGGTGTGTATGCTGATACACTAGTAGGTTTGCGAAAAACCGATGTGCGGATGATGGAATCATCAAATTTTATGTCCAAATCCAGGAAATGTACTCTGGTGTTACTGTGTTACTGTGTAAATCCGAGTGTATTAATTCAAGAGAAGAGATCGGCCTTTCCATGGCGTGGCAAAACCTACTCCATAAAGAGTGATAACGAAATTATATTAAGCCTTAAAAATAAATGATATTAGGGAACATGAGAATATTAAATAATCTATATATCTCAATAACACGTTTTGTATCTTTCTCTTAAATTTGAACATTGACCGTCTAATTCGAACAATTTCAATCATATCTCGTGACGGATTAAGCGAATGGAACGATTCAAACTCTATGAAGTTCGGATTTATTCAAACTTCTTGAATTCGTTGTTTGCTATTCGATCCAGCTGTTATCCTGATGAAGAACCCAGAAGGGGTTATGAAAACGTTTGGTTGTTGAATGAACAATTGATACGCATCAGTTACAGGTTCTGTAAGTCAGATTTAATGTATTGTATACAACCCGATGTGCAGTTGATATTATATAATTATTAAGTGATGCCGACTAATTATGAAGGTATAAAATTAAGTAACATTAAAATTAGAAAATACAATCATGATTATATCAAATATGGGCTAATAAAAAATCAATTTATTATAGATAATTTAACAAATATAAATTATTATTAAAAAAAATGGGGTCACAAAAAAATTATGAAATATTTGGTGGACCGTGAGTATAAAAAGGTTAAGAACCACTGGCATAAAGTTTCATTACATCCTGTATAAAGCCATGAAACTTAAAGACTGTCACTCTAAACACCAGATTTAAATGGATCTGTGAACTCAGTCAGTTTATCAAGAAAATTATTGCTGAACTGATCATCTTTCATCCATACCTTATAAAACACCTTCATCTACAGTAAATCAAGTCCTTAATTTAGTATAGATTAAGGAGTTGCATATATTACATCACTAGTATATCATACTCTGTTATATACAAATGTATTGTACAGTACATGTAAATAAAACTTCATTGCACAGCTCTACTGATTTAAAATTAAAAAGAAAAATGTGCTAATCACCATTGCAGTGTGTTTAAGACATCTCATTCTCACTTTCTTTAACAGTTTTCCCTTTTCTTTCACTCCCTCATAATCATCAGCATCTATTTTCAATTTTTTAAGCTAGATTTTCATTAGCATACTTTTTACTTTTTCCATCATCATCAACGTGATATTTTTTGAAAGCTTTCCACTCGCATTTGAACATATAATGGAATCTTTAATTTCATAATATTTGCTGAATTGTGAAGAAAGTTAAACTTATAAAATCTCTCTTAAAAGAAAATATTGTGAATAGTTTTCTTGGACATTCCTGACATTTGTCTATTCCATCATTGCTGTAATTCCAATGAAACAATCATAAAATGAACTTACTTAAAAACAGCAAATGTAATTTAATAAAAAAATATGCTGTCTTTAATATTCATTATTTTATAAAATATTCAAAATATGGAATATGAATGATTTTTGGTTGACAGTGTAAATTTCTTCTTTCCTTTGTATGTGTTTTTTTTTATTTAACAAAATATTTAGTTCACTAAATTAATTTTTATTCATTACATTGTTTGAAAATAATTAATTTTCCCATTTTACCTTCAAATAAATCAATTATGAAAATTATATTTCATAAGATAAAAATCATACTATGAGTTGAATTTAAACATTTTAACACTATACTCTATAACAGTGTTTTTCAACCTTTTTGAATATGCAACCCCTTTACAAGTTAAAAAATTTTGGCGACCTCCCAGGTCCATATTAAAAGTATGTCAGTGATTTTAAAAACTACATATTTTATTTTTTTTCTGTTGAGACCTAAATATCAATCGAAAAACCAATTGTACTCTGCAAATAAGTCACAAGAGCCCTGCAAATAGTAACTTTGCCACGGGGCGCTGGAGGCGAATGCGCCAACAAGTACAGACGTGATTGTATTGTCTTTGCGCTTTGCTCCGCAAGACCATAAAATGGATAAATTTCTCAAAAGATCGCAGCCCTCCATGTCTGGTACAAGTGGCAGTGACGGAAGTGAATCAAAACCGAAAAAAAACAGACATTACTACGACAATTACTTGAAATACGGATTTACTGTCATGAATAATAAACCTCAATGTGTAATTTGCGGCGATGTATTATCACGTGAGAGTATGAAACCATCAAAACTTATGCGTCACCTTTCAACCAAACATCCCAAAGAAGCTGATAAACCGCTGGATTTCTTTGAATGTAAGCTGAAAACCCTTAACCTGCAGCAAAATACTATGATTCAGGTAATAAAATAGTATTGTTATTTGGTGATTAAAAATAATATTTATTATTGCTTAATTATTTATTTGTTTTTCTGATTTTTTGTCTGTTTTTAGGTATCCAGTGTCAACGAAAACGCATTATTAGCTAGTTACAGAGTTGCATACCGAGTTGCTAAAGCAGGGAAGCCGCATACAGATGCCGAAAATCTTATTTTGCCAGCAGCCCTAGATATGGTTGAAATTATGTTAGGTAGGCAGGAGGCAAGCAAGCTAAAAAGCATACCACTTTCTGACAATACTATTGAACGCAGAATAAACGATATGGCCAGTGACATTCGAGAACAAGTAGTCGAGAAATTAAAGAAGAGCCCACATTTTGCTTTGCAGTTTGACGAATCTACTGATGTTTCAGATTGTGCACAGTTTGTAGTATTTGTGCGCTTTGAAGCAGATGAAAGTATCACAGAAGACATTTTATTTTGCAAAGCACTTTCTTCAAACACCACAGGTCAGTGTTTGTACGACATATTTTTAGAAAGCACTCGCAACTACAAGATTGATTGGACAAAATGTATTGCCATTTGTAGCGATGGCGCTAAAGCTATGACTGGACAAAAAAGCGGACTCGTTGCAAAATTAAAATCAATAATGCCTAATGTCTCATGGACACACTGCTTTCTTCATCGACATGCTCTGGTAGCCAAGGTTTTACCTTCTGATTTAAATGAAGTGCTTAAAGAGGTGATCAAAATTGTGAATTCTATTAAAGGTAAAGCCTTGCAAACCCGACTGTTCAGAATCATTTGTGAAGACATGGGTTCGCTCCATCAAAATCTCCTTTATCATACAGAGGTCAGGTGGCTATCCAAAGGAAAGGTATTGACAAGAGTTTTAGAACTGAAAGCTGAATTGTTAATGTTTTTACAAGGTGCTAAATCTGAATATGCGAATTATTTATGTGACCCTGTTTGGCTCCTAAAATTAGCATTTCTTGCTGATCTTTTTAGCCACCTGAATATTTTAAACAAGAAACTCCAAGGGAGAGAAGAAAACATTCTGACAGCTAAAGATAAAATCAAAGGATTCTTCGCAAAACTTCGTTTGTGGTCAACGTCTTTGCAAAAAAATATATATGAGTCTTTCCCTTGTGTTCAGAAGATTGTCGAAGAAACGGCAATGGATCAATTGTTGGTAGTAAGTTCTCACATCCCTTGCATGATACAGAGCTTGCATAATTTGGAAGAGAAACTATTAACTTACTTTCCAAAACTGGACTCTGAAGCTGACTATGGGCATAGATGGATATTAAATCCTTTCATAGATATGTCAGTACAACTGGCTGATCTAACCACGAAGATGAAAGAAAATCTTATAGATTTAGCTGCTGACGGCATGCTTAAAATGGAATTTCATTCGCAAAATATTGACGTCTTCTGGATGAAAAGAAAACAAATGTATCCAGAACTGGCAAGAGAGACTTTAAAATTATTAGTGCCATTCGCCACTTCTTACCTATGTGAAATAACGTTCTCTTCAATGGTGGACATAAAAACTAAAAAGAGAAATAGGCTTCAATTAGAAAATGATTTAGTTGTTTGCGTCTCAAAAAATAAAACCACGTTTTGACAAATTATTAAAAAATAAACAGGCACAGCCTTCTCACTGAAATTGTAGTTTTTTTATTGTAGTGTAGAACCTACAAACACTTGTCTTTTTCTTTTACCCGCAACCCCCGTGTAAGGCTTCGCAACCCCTTGAGGGTCGTGACCCACAGGTTAAAAAACACTGCTCTATAATAATCAGTACTTTCTTTTGATTTCTAAAAAAAAAGAAATAAATCATTATTCACTGAAATTTCTTCCTTCAAAACACATTAAGTAAAAAATAAGCCTAAATTAGTTGTTTTTTAAATTTCAATAAACAAAATAGCAATAAATAAATCTATCAAAGTTATTGAAATTAAATAATAAAAAACTTTTATATTATAAGAACTAAAATCTGTATAACTGAAAAGTTGTTGATCATTCCATATTATCAGTGTAATATACAAACTGCCTGAATCCAATTCACAAATTTTAAGATGTAAACTCTTTAACAAGATTATACAAATTCATTGATACTGTCAAAAATAAATGGTCCAATAAATGTTTAATAAATTTTCAAAAAAATTCAAATAAATAATAATTTAAATTTGCATATTAGACCAATAACAAACAAAAGAGTATCAAATATGAAAATGAATTAAAATATGTAAATATGAAAAGAAAAAAATTATTGTTACACTTTTACTTAAGTAAAACAACCTACATATTTTAATAAAGTTTTTATCAGATAAATTTTGCAATTACATTCTAAAATTTATATTTTTGCCATATCTTATAAATTATGGTAATGTTGAATAGAATTCTTGTAAATCTTTATCTTTTGGCCTTAAGATGGTCTTATCTGTTAAATTCACAACCCATCCTGGTTCCAAACCTTCAAAGATTTGTAAGGGATCTTTACGAAATGTCAGCATTTCATACTGAAAAGTAAAAAGTAATACTCTAAGTAGATAATAATAATAATTATTATTTTTAACAAAGATCATTACAAAACTATTATCAATAATTTTTATGAATTAATGCATGTAAAATTTAAAAATTAAAAACTACACTCAAGTTTTTAATTAACAAATTGCATAAACTATTTTGGACAGCTGGATAGCCAAGGTGGTTAAGGCATAAAAATGTTCATTACAAAACTATTATCAATAATTTTTATGAATTAATGCATGTAAAATTTAAAAATTAAAAACTACACTCAAGTTTTTAATTAACAAATTGCATAAACTATTTTGGACAGCTGGATAGCCAAGGTGGTTAAGGCATAAAAATGTCATACTGACAACCCAGAATCTAACTCTGGAATTTTTCATGGGTGTTTAGTCTCAGATATGTTGGACTCCATTCTTCGCCACCTGACAAAATCTGCATTGGGCATGGAAGAAAGACCCTTTTAGTACACACAAGATAGAAAGAGCAAAATATAGAAAAAAAAATTTCTTAACCACTTCTACTACTTTAATATTAGTTCAGTAGAAACAAATAGTTAGTGCCAAATTTGACACTAAAACAGAATGAAAATTCTTAAAATTAAATGGTTGAAATAATCAAAATCAAATTTGTCCACTAATATGACAATGTAATGGCAATTTGGATCCCACCCCCTGCCAAATTTTTTGCTGTCTAAATGACTGAGACCTTAAGGCATATCAGTCTACCAACCACTCTGGAAAATCCAAGATTGAATCTAGGTTGGTCAAAAACTCAAAGAATCTTAATGGGTGGTCTGTCCCAGATATATCAGACCCCATCCCTCACACCCCAACTATCCCATTGCATGTTTTGTCAAACCCACAATGAATCTGATAAAAAGGTCCTTTAGTATGTACAAGGCAGAAAGAGTAAAAAGAAAAAGCAGCAAGAAAGTAGTAATGAAAAAAAAAAAAGCTAACATAAGTAGTGAACAAAATTAAGGCTAACCACTTACTTTATTTGCAATGATACCTTCATACATGAAAAATCCAACTCAATCATTTTTAAAAGCAAATTTTTGGCAAAATTAAATAATTGCACACTAAAGTATATATTTCATTATACTTTAGTTTTCTGTTTTGTGAATTTACAAACATATAGTGAAGGAAATTTGTAATAAAAAAGTTTGATAAAATCTAATTTTATTTATATCATAGTCATAAGAAAACAATAAATATATATACAATCTACCAGATTATTGAATTAAATTAAAATTAATTTAATTTCTAACCCTGATACAATGCAGTAGTTAGATTCCATAAAAATGTTGAATTATAAAAATCTCATTATGTGAGACTTGCATTAGACAAAAAAAGTGGGTTTACATTGTAAAATGATTTTTAATTAAAAATTTTATCTATCATGTACGAAAAAACAGTTCTATTTAATTCAGAAAATTTCAATTGACAAAACATGAATTACAAAACAAAAACAAACTTATCAAAAGTATATTTTATGAATTTTAATAACTCAGGATTGATATACACTTACTGTATGTCTTTAACTAACTTGTCCACATTTATTATCTACTGTACTTAAATGCTATTTTCAAGAATGTAACTAAAAAAAAAAAAAAAAATGAAAAAAGCACACAGCTTACACACAAAATGCCAAAAGAAATTTCCAGTGTATAAACTTAAATACTTGTTAGCACAGAATATTTTTTTTTACATTTTTCTAACAAGATTTTATTTTTCATGATAAAGTTTTCATCATATAGGAGGAACTGCACAATCTACATTGGTGAACTATGCTGTAACTGAAAGAACATTTTTGACAATAATAATTTAATAAATACAGATGTAATACAGAATTTAATAAATACAGATTTAATAAATAAATAATAAAAACAGATGATTTCATATGTTTCAAAATGTCCCTCATCTCATTCAGCACAAAATTCAAGCCTTTTTCAAATCACTGAAAAATCATTGCTAGCACATCACTTTTAATAGTCTTAACAACCTTTTTAATTGCAGTCTTTAATTGTTCTGCATTCTTTGACTCTTCCTTGAAACAATTGTCTTTGATATAACTCTAGAGAAAAAAGTCACAAGGGTTTAAGTCATGATTGTAAGGAGACCATTCAATCCCACTATCCAAAAGTTTTGGGTAACCTAATCCAATAACACAATCCTGATACATGTTGAAGATACTTTCAAACACATCTCAGGTGCAGTGGGGAGTAGGACCATCTTGGATAAAGTGATATTTCTGGACAAAATAATTTTTCCTTGCTCCAAAATCATATATGGGGCCTATGACTGAAGTCTCAATGATATTTAAGTATACAGCACTCAATGTAATTGCTCCCATGCTGTGATCTTCACTGGATGGAATGGTTTGGACACTGACTTGTGGATCTGATGTTCTCCAAAATCAAAAGTTTTGCACCAAGATGAAAATGTGCTTCATCCATAAATAGTATTTTATCGGCATCTAATATCTCACTTACGAACATTTCTGTCATTTTATTAGCAAAGCTCACTTGAATTGTCATTGCACCTTGGCTAACTTTCTGATGAATAGTAATTTTGTAAGCATACATATCTTGAGGAAATATTTCAGAGCACAGATTCTCTGTTAATGCTCAGTCTTTGTGCTGCCTTCCTGATGGAACTGCTTTGAAAAACTTTTTTTCAGCCTTTCAGGAGTTTAAACTGAAATTTCAGGACCAGGTGGTCATGGCCAAGATACAGAAACTCAAAATTTGACATTGCCATTCAGAAACAAAAAAGTCTCATTTTCTTATGATTCTACGTGTCCTGTCACTAGGGTTCCAGATGTACCAAACTTAGTATGAAATGCCCTAAGTGCTATTGCTATCTGTTCATCATTCTGGTAATATGTCTTTATGAGGAAAATCTTCTGGTCCTTGCTCACATAAATCATCTTGTGTTTGTTCAATTAAGTTAATTTTGTGTTAGAAATAATGAAAGTTCTTTACTAAACAGATTGATACCCTATACATCACATGTCCACCAGTAGCTGAGTAGATAAAACTACTGAATACAGATAGTTGGTCATAGATTTGTGCCTTGCCAACAGGCTGGCCACATAGAGTTTTCTAAATTTTCTTCACCTGTCTAACACTTAAATAGGACCCAGTTTCCCATTAAAAAAACCTCCCAGTAGGCATTCCCCTTTAGCAGACCACCATACACAACACATGTTATGTTGCCATACACAAATAAAATCAACTATAGATGTCACTACTCTCTCTAATTACATCATATTTGAAAAAATCTTTTTGACATATTATTTGTCACCATATATCAAAATTACATTGGATAAGTACTGCATTGTACAAGGATTGTTAGAATTTTGAACCACTTTATATGAGTACTGCATTATATGATTATTGTATTAAATCCAGGGTGGCCAAGCTCCTTGATAGTCCAAGCCATTTTTCAAAATTTGAAATTTTTCGCGAGCCGCAATTAAATACGTATTAAAAAGGTATGCAAAAAATTCCAGATTACAAATTATATCCGTAGCAAGAGTGATACAAATTGTTTCCTCCAGAGCACAATGTCAACTGTCCGTTGCAATGACAGTTTACAAATTCAAAATCGGTCTGGAGTCGGTTGATAACAGACGATTATGCCACTGTTTATGTTCGTTTGCGCAGTTTTCGATGTCATATCATTCTTAACTTGGATGGAAATGAAATTTGTTACAACGTTGCACTTAGCTTTCATATTTGTTGTTAGTAATTTAAAAGACATTTTGAAACACATACGGAACGATAATAATTTTTTAAAATATAATAGCACAAAAATGAAAAGGGAACTCGGGTACGCTTATCGAGAGCCACAAATAATTCTTCAAAGAGCCGCATGTGGCTCGCGAGCCGCAGGTTGGCCACCCCTGTATTAGATTTATCAAAAGAGGCAGCTTAACTGCCTACCTCTAGCCAAATTAATTTGTAGTTAATTATTTATTAGCCTTAATATAGCCCAATAGATAACCCAACAGATCATTTGGCAACATGACTAAATAAAATTTTTTAAGTATTCAGTAATTACATAGGCTGTTTTTTTCCAACCTCTGATGGTCCATAAAACAAAGACAAGTCACTTGGTGCTAAATTGGGGCTTTATGCTAGGTGTTTAAAAAGTTCCAAGCTACGTAGAAGTCTGAAAGGTGACAGTATTCACACCTTTAATGTGTGAAGACTTCCACCTCTTTCCTGAACTGAAAACTTGGCTAGCAGGGCAGCAGTTTGAGACTAATGACAATCTTCAAAACAATGTTAAGGCCCATCTCAATCACTGGTGGCAACATTCTATGAAGAGGGGATTTCAAAGCTCATCCACAGATACATGCATGCATGCATACATACATACATACAAGAAAGACTGGCTGTACATGAGGTGTTTAGCCAGTGGAAAGGAGGTTAAGGGAAAGGGGAGGGGAAGAAGGAGGAAGAGGTGATAGATAGTAGAGAAAGGTAGGATACCTCTGAATGGCATATGTATTGCTACAGTACCCTCTATGTTTGATGTTGGTGTGCAGTTTTTATGCTGCTAGGCTGTAGTTCCCTAAAGGGTCTAAAAGGAAACACGAGTGTAGCAAACATCAATGATTCAGTGCCACCATGAATAGCTAAGTGAAGAAGTTAGTGCCAAGTTGCTGTTAGTAGGAAGACATAACTACTTACTGTTAATGAAACTGAACGTGAGTGTGAATCTTAATACTACTTAACAGCTAGACAGACAGCATAAAAAAGGAAACAAACACAATGACAAACTAGATGAGACGAATGGCTGGACAAAAGACAAATATGCAAGACCCCAAATTTTTATTTTATTTTTTATTTTTAATTATTTTTTTATTTTTTTATTTTTTATTTTAATTATTTTTTTAAACATTAACTTACTCACTAACTAAACTAACATACCATAACCTAGGATA